GTACCCATTGACTTCCATAGTATTTTTTTTCCCCCACTGGGGACCAATAACTTTTTGGTTACCAACATTATTCAAAATATAATTTTATGTTCCACAGAAATTCCTACAGGTTTGGAACAACTTCAGGGTGAGTAAATCATTCATTTTTTTTGGATCCATTTAAGTGAGTTTTTAATGTCAATTTATCGAGGTGTCTGACTCTCCCGAAACAGCACCTGTAAATAAACGCTGCATTCAAAACACATCACAGCAAAGGAAATGTGAATACTGTATGTGTGTGGACATCAGCATGTGCTTAAATGAGTCGGGGGTCAAAAAGAGCAGCGAATGAAAGAGAGGCGTGAGGCACTGACTGTTATGCCTCTTCCTGTGTGGTTGAGAACCACGTGGTTGGCAGCAAGGTTAAATACGAGCACTTCTCCTGTTTTAGGCCCATTTCTACTTGGGCTGAAGAGGAAGACGCCTGAAGAACACTGGTAAGACCACTGGAGAAGAAAAAAAGAGGCAAACATGGCACTACTGGGCTTGAGCTACAGAGGTATGGATGTATTTGAGCCATAAAATACAAGTTCTGATGGGTAACGTATGGTTATCGTTATACTGGGATGCGCAGGAAACAGGAAGCGATTTATTTGGTACATTTTGGCTTTTTCTTGTTTCTTCATTAATGTACATAATGATGCATAGCTTTATGCATTAATGTTCTGCATAAATATTTTCAAGTTTTTCACTGTAATGTTTGTAAGAGCAAACGATCATGTTGGACTCTCCACTGACGCATACATACAATTTAAAAATTCAAAAAATATTTAGTCAATTTTTGGAATGCGATAGATTGTCAATTGCATTTCAAAATTATTTATTAACTGACAATATGAAGAGCAACTTTAAAAAAATAATGCATGTGCACCAGTTCCTGTTTAACAAAAATGCTGAAAGTGCTAAAAAAACGCACATTTTCTATCTTTGCAGTTTCTTTTTTTTTCCACACAAAACAACAGCAAAACCAAAACAAATATGAGCATTTTAAAATAAATATCTGTAATAAAACACTCATCTTCTTTTGAAAGAAAAAGCTTACTCATGTTGATCAAAATGGCTGCCATCTGATGTGAGGAAAACGTTTGTCTCGCCACCGCCAGCATTTGCGAATGACGCATTTTTTATTCTTGAATTTTCTATTTTAATCAACTTGTTTTCAAAAATTGCTGTATAAACTTTAACATGATTCAACAAAATGCATGTTGCAGTATATTTGTTGTACATGATGCACCTAATAATCTAGTTCAATGAATTATTAATCGCAAAACAATTCTATTTTGCATGTTGTATGTTCAAATAGCAATCAATCAAACTCGATTTCCTGAAATGTTAAGAGTTTGAAGTCTGTATAGAGTTTGGGTGTGGTTCACGAGCTGTACAGATGTGGAAATGTGTGTGTGTTTATGTGAAACAGGAGTTTGAGATCTCCAGCGTTTCTCCAGAGGAGACGTGGACACCTGGACATTGGGACATACAGTGCAGTCATCCATAAAGTAGAAAGCACTACTAAACCCCTCGCCACAGTGTAGTGTTTCCTACTTTATGGATGAGTGTACTGTTGGCTGCTGGGAAACTTCACGCCGCTCGACACAGGACGACAGGAAAGAGAGAAAAGAGGAACTGGCTTGGTTTCGTAAAGCCGTGCACGTCTCATAGTGTCAATGCAGGTCCACGTGAGACGGCAGCACGCTTGCAGAAACTAAAGCCGGGTTTCTCTGATTGATGTTGCTGTAAAATCATTGAAAATGTCTTGTATGATGCATGTTTTAAACTTCAATAAAACAGAAACAAATAAAACCCTTTTGTCTCCGAGTCAAGGTTATTATTGTTAACTAAAACTGAAAACTAAAATAATTTTTTTTGTCTCTTGCTACTTTAATTAAATGTCAACTGAAATGAAATAAAAGAAAAACTTTTATTTACTAAACATTTTTGTTACTAAAAAAAACTAAAACTGAAATAAAATTAATAAAAACGATATAGACAAAAATCATATAAAAAAAACAAAAAACACTAAATATGGGAAAAAAAAAATCACTAAACTAAAATTAAAATGAAACAAAAAAAAAAAGTAAAAAAATAAAAACTTATTCAAAATATTACAAATTATTATATGCACTAAATTATTATTATTATAAATAGCTATATATATATATATATATATATATATATATAAACACTGATTTGAGTCCATCACAACAGAAAGCCATTTTATGTGAAAATATACTTTATTTCTGTAAAAAGTCCATATTGCAACAAGTCTTTCACTTCAAGTAAATCACTACGACTTTCCCCACCAAGCAAGATGCCCGCGTGACTATCCAAAAACATAGTTTCGGCATGCACAACAGAAACCCGAAAAATACTTTACCAAAAGAAGCCATATTCACAGGTGAGTTTCCAAAAAACGCATTACAAAAATGTACAAAAAAACATCCTTCAGGACAGACACAAGAATAGAGTCTCGTTCTCGCTGTATGAAAATATCATACCTCACATCACAAAAAAACACCGAGCTCAATGCCGCCTCCTTCGCGTACGGCCAAACAAAGGTACGTGCTACTACTACGACACATAAATAGAATAAATAAGGCCGAGTATAGATGGAAACCCATCATGCATGCAGTCATTACAAACACAGCTGTAGTAAACTTGAAGTTAAGACTAAACAAGGTTTCATAAGGCTAGTTTTTATTATGGCCTAGGATACGCCTACTTGCAGTAGCGACAGTTACGATGGTAAGATCTGCGGCCTGTGCGTTCCTCAGCTTCACCGTGGCAGGAATCACAGCAAGCGTCTGGATTATATAGTGCAGCGAGGGGAAAATCACCTGACTAGTTGATACTAGGGGCTGTACAGTGCATCACTACCCATGAAATGATCAAGGATGCTTGTTTGATGACATATGCAGTCTGCAATAATGCTAAAACACAACTTTCTTTGTATATTCTGTTCGAGAAACGGTTGAAACTTTCACCTACTTCCTGTTTGTGAGGACATTTGGGCTCTAGCTCCGCCCCTCCAAACGCCTGGCGTTCTGTGATTGGTCGCTGTAGTGATGTGCACAGCACCTCAAGGTTTGGCAAGATTGTGTGGTTTGGACAGTCTCGCCTGAGAAGAGCAAGAGCTGACTTAAGACGCGAAACTGATGAGCGGTTCGACCTGAGAAATGATTTCACGTGAGCCCTGTGAGACCACAAGAACCAACGCAACAAACGCATTTCGCTCGCATTACATAGCAGTGTAAAGTTGAAGGGTGTGTGGTGTTACGCTCACATGCTGTGTCTTTATTACAACGCTCCTAAAACGGAGGAAAAGAGATTAGGAGCTAAGCAAGAAGAGTTAAGACAGAGCTCATGCAGAAAGAAGCCAACTTTCAACGTTTCGTTCCTTTATCCCACATTATAAATGAGTGAATTATCATTGTCGCTATTGTAAAGTGAGTTCCATGCCGAAAAGGCGAAGCTGAAACTAAAATACAAAGAGTTCATTACGAACAATAAAAGCTTCAGTGCAGCATCAGATGCACAATATTACGTTTACAGAGAAATATCAACATTTTCTGGTTTGAAATGCTGTTTTAGCATGCAAATAACAAATTATAAAGATGAAACTGATAATAAAAATATGTATTGTTGTTTTTTTTTGTTTTTGTGCAAATGCAAGCATAATATTCAATTAAAAAAATTCATGAAAATGTAATGGATTGCCGAAATGAGCACAGAAGTATGGAAGCATGTTTCTGCTACTGAATGAAAAATAAAAAAGGTAATTGCGGCTTTTAATCTCACAATTCTGACCTTTTTTCTCAGAATTGTGTGATATAAATTTGTAATTCAAACTTTATATAACGCAATTCTGAGAAATGAAGTCAGAATTGTGTGATATAAAGTTGCAACTCTGAGTTTTGAGATATAAACTCACAAATGTAATAGTCTTATTTTTTCCCTCAGAATTGGACTTTATATCCATAAAAAAGTCAGAATTGCGAGATATAAACGTGCAATTACGAGAAAAAAGTCAGAATTATGAAAAAAGCAGGAATTTCTCACAATTGCAAATTTATATCCCGCAATTCTGAATCTAGCCAAAAAGCCATGTGTTGACTGTGAAACAGTAGACTTTAATTATATGCATTTATGGTGTAATTACTAAATTTCCGTGTCAATCCATGTTAATTTTTATCGCGAATAATGCGCTGTCACTTTAATTCAGCGCAGGCAGCACAGCAGAAATAGACTCTGCAGACATGACTGAATCGCATGCAGTGTGAACGCTCTGATCCGTTAACATGGGCGCGGACAAAATACACACCACAGACGGAGTGTGTGAACCTGGCGTTACGTTTGTATGCCCGCCCGGTCTGTTCTGTTCTCGTGCTCCATTTAGGCGCGCTGCATTCTGATTGGTTCGAATAGCATACTGCGGGAGGTCGAGTCATAAATGCATTCAGTGTGAATTTGAAACATATTTCCAAAATAAAACCAATTAGAGCTTTATCAAAAAGCTGTAACATGTCTCTAGAACAGACATAAGGCAAAATAATTACTAAGTAAAGGTGTAACAAAATGTCTCTAGAATAGACATATGGCAGGAAAAAATATAAAAAACCCTGTGTCCAGGGATTTTTATTTTTGCCATGCATTGGTCATAGAGCTTTGTGGCGTTGCCTCAGTGGTTCGAATAGCATACTGCGGGAGGTCGGGGGCGCGGAAAATCGTGCTATAAAGCGATTTAGAAATCGCACAAGCTCAAATCGCGATTTTATGACGATTTCGATTAATCGCACAGCCCTAATTCTGACTTATATCTTTTTAATATCTTGTCGATTATATCTTGCAATTCGGAGAATAAAAAGTCAGAACTGTGAGATGTAAACTCGCAATCGTGAGAAAAAAATCTGAATCGTGAGATAAAAAGTGTCAATTACCTTTATTTTATTTTTTATTCAGTGGCGGAAACGGGCTTCCACACAGTAGTGTGTAGAATATAATAAAAAACTATTTTCAGTAGAATACAACAACAATGAAATAATCTGAAACTGTGGAAAATATTGTGATATGGATATGAAAAGGTTTTGGCCAGTCGGTGATCATTCAGATTTTCTCCAGTAAAAATGAATGAATTAATATGTAAAGACTTGAGTTCAGTTCAGTCTGTACTGGTTTAACTAACTGGTTTGTATTACTCTAGCTTTAACCGGATAACACCAGCAACACAAAACAGGGACAGTTCTGCAGTCTTGGACCCGACTTGTAGTGCAAAATATTTTTGTAGCGACAAAAAATTATTTTGTCGTCAACCTTCGCTTTATTTTTCCAGAATTCCTGGAATAAATATCACGTCAAGATATTTCCTCTAAGTGTGCTTTGCCTTTCAGTGGCTGATGTTTGTGAACACTAGCAGATGGTTAGTTCATGTCTAAATGCTGTTATATTGAAGTTAAGAGTTTATTTAGAATATTTCGCTATCTTTTTACTCTTTAAATGAGTAGTTTTATAGCTTTTCAACAGGCATGAGCTCTAGTCACAGCTTTAATGGGTTCAAACCCATTTCCATATTTGCACAAGTATTGCGATTATTTTTGAAAAGCTTTTTTGAAAAGAAGAAACAGTCCGACACACGAAAGCGCTGGTATATCTGCGTCATTATGGCAAAAATCTGAGAATGAGAAAGATTCTCCTATTGGACGGACACACTCAAACTGACACGACATACGAGAGAAAGTGCAATCTGCAGATCTTTAGGCTCACAGCTACTCCTTCTTGCTGGAGCCCAGCTTTCTGAAGAGCTTCCTGCCCTTGGAGAAGAAGCCTTTCTTCTTTTTCTCAGGCAGGGAGGCGGCGGGGAACGGAGGGGTCGCGGGCAGAGATGAGCTCAGGGTCGGTTTCTGCTCAGAGTCCGGCTCAGGGTTCGGTTCTGGCTGAGCTGGTGGATTCAGGTCTAGTTGAGAGGAGCTCACGGGATCAAGATGCTCAGACGATTCTGTCTGGCTCACCTGGGAGAAAAACAGACGAAAAGTGAAGGTGGGCAAGTAGTTGAGATTTTAATGCCATGTCACGTCATAAAAAAAATTAAAAATAAAATAATAATAATAATAATAATAATAAAAATAATAAATAAATAAAAATAAAATAAAAGGATTACAATTACACAAGCTGTTTAAATGCACATATGATAAAAATTCTAAAACTGTTTCTGGTAAGTTCTTATTTAAGAAAGTCCTTAAGAAAGCTGAGATAGAGTTAACTTTCTACCAATTACATAAGAGTAAAAAAAAAAAAAGAAAACTACACAATGTGTTTAAATCTACATATGATAAAAATTGTAAAACCTTACCAGAAAAAAATAAATAAATAAACAAGCCCTTAAGAGAGCTGAGAGAGAGTTAACTTTCAACCAATTACATAAGAGTTGTATAAAATACAATTAAAATAAAATAAAAAGATTAAAATTAAGTAAGATGGAGATACCAGTCACAAATCTGACAGACACCTGACTTTGTCATGATCTTAAAAATGCTTCAGCTTAAATGACAAATCAAACTCATGGAGGCATATATCTCACTATGATTTTAAAGGGCTAGTTCACCAAAAAAAAAAAAAATTTTTTTTTTTTAAATTTTAAATTTTAAAATTAATTTATAATTTGTTATAATTTGCTCACCCTCATGTACAAACCTGATTTTTTTTTCTGTAGAACACAAAAGATGATATTTTGAAGAATGTTGGTGTCCAAACCAGGGTTATTATGTAATCCAAAATATTAATAATATAATATAAAATAATATAAATAACACTAAAATAGCACTGGTCCCTAACCTTGACAAAAACAAAACAACAAAAGACATTATTAGGGGGGTGAAGTATCACTTTAATGTAAAAGTATTATGTGAAAATGAGATTTGGAATAATTTGCGGGGTTTTCTCACTGCAAACATTCTAGATTCAAAAATACTGGATCTCTAAAACATTAAAGTAATTTTTTAGTGTTTTGTTTTTCTGAGCTGTTAAACTTCTCCTTTTGTGTTCCACAGAAGAAAGTCAGTCATACAGGTTTGGAAAAAGAGGAGGCTGACTAAATGAGGACGTGTAAACGAGCCCTTTAAAGCATGTGTATTGATTCTATAATTCATCTTCAGCCTCTCAGTGTCCTGTTCAGAGTCATTATAGATCTTCTAAAGGGGCAGAGGAGACGCTAGAGAGGGTTTGCTGCAGGAAGGGTCAGATCTGTGAAACACTTACGGTCACTGTTTAAAGTGAACACCTCTCCTGTGCTTCTGAAAACCATGCAAAAATAAAAACAAACACACATAAGACGACATGCAGAACAAACGACAGCTGGAGAAACTAATGCTGTTAATCAATGACGGACAGAACA